TTATTATGTAATAAAGGGTGAAAACGTTATAATATATAAGATTTTTTAAGGCATTTAAGGAACTCAGCACGATAAATTGAATTCATTTAGCTCTGTTCGTCTGTCCATCTATTTATTTCAATTCAAACTAGTCCCTCAGTTAATGGGCTATTCAAATAAATTTTTGCCTACATATTTTTCAAAAGTGGACCTTGATCATTTGTCGGATTGGCTGAAATGAATACTATATTCCATAACTGCCATATAAATTAAATAATCGGAAATAAGTTTTTTTCTATTTTGGATATACGTATATAAATAAATTTAATACACTATGTATTTATACTTATATTGTAGAAATTCCATATCGGTTCAGATTTGAATATAGGTGCAATATAAACTGTCAATTCAGACACATATTTGAGTAATAGGTTTTTGCAGAAATGTTTAACAGGTATTAGATCATAACTGTTTTAAGTACAGTTTATTGTGTAAGTTTTCGGTAAGGAAAGACTGATATATATTTGGAATATTAATGCTTAAAGAAATCTAAGCAAAGAATAGGTTGAAATATTTTTGATATATATTTTTAGGTAAATGTTTGCTTAGAAGGAGGATGTTATCTATTGAAATATATTATTTTTGAGGAAGTATTTACTTATTCCTCTATCTATTTCTGATTAAATATATTGGAAATATTGTTTTGCGAAAAATTGTAACCCAAGCAAACATATGTATTAAATGAATCAAGGTTTTTAAGTAAGATTTTGGTAAGGAAAATAAGTTCAAGAAAACTTGCTATGAATTATATGGGAAATTTGTGATAAAATGTGAGATTTATATATATAAAAGGGGCACAATAGATCCGACGGTCGCAGTGCCACATCCTCTAATAATAATAATATATATAAATATAATAAAATCTGAATACTATATATATATATTATAATTTTATATATGGCTATAAATATATATATATAAATATATATACCAATGTTATTTTAATATTTTAGCAAAAAAGGATATTTTTAGTGCAAAATTATCATTATTAGTGCAAAACTAAAGAAAAAATCTGTTACAAAAGTACATACATATACATACGTATGTATATTTTTCATCAATTTTAATTAAACAACTGTTATTAATTTAAATTTAGTATAAAAATATGAGACGTTGTAATTGCATGACTAAATCTGTATCTCTTAAATCGCGATTTATTGTTCCCCTTTTTATATATAAATTTATTATAATTTATTTATAATATATTACATCTATCTCAAATCTCAATATTTAACAAAAGCAATAAACGATAAGATAGATGCATATGTCTACTAATAACCATGAGTTTAAGTTTTTTAATTAAATAATCCAACAATTATTTATTATTAGTATTTCACAATTTTTAAAAGTAATTTGTTGCTCTTATTAACAAATTGAGTTCTTTATCAATTATATTTGCACGATAAAAAAGATACACTTGTTTTATAATTGAATTTATAATTAACATAAGCATTATATGCAAAAAATTAAAAATGAAGAATTATATTTTATTTTTATATTCAAGCCATTAATATAACTTGAAACACTATTTTCTTAAATGATTTTCAAGCTTTTGTATAGAACTAAAAATATGGTATAAGAAATAGACAAATCTTTAGAAATAGACAAATCTAACAATGACTAGATATAATATTAAATATATGATTAGTTATGACAGTAATTAATCAACAAATAAATATTAAATGACCTACCATTAGTTTTATCAATGTTTTTCATTATTAAATTAAAATTACAAAAATTATCTTAAGTGCCTTTAGTCATTAAAAAATTAATTAATTAAAATATTAAATTGTTCTCTTTCTAGATAAAACGGTCATGCAATTATTATAATATTTTCTACTCTATAATTATTAATCTTTTTTTTTTAATTTTATTTACTTTCTTTCCCTATTTTTGCGTTATTTTATTATTAATATTTTTATTTGGTGCTATTTAATATTTAATGTTACTTCTCGAAGTTCACTGACTCATTAGAAAGTAACAATTAAGAGTGGCGTAAGATAAAATTTTTTATAAATGAATTAAATAAATATATTATAATGATTTAGTTGATTATTAGCTGAATATTAAAATAATAATGAAATCATGACTTTTTTCCTGAGAAGTTTATTACTGCATTATTTTTATCTTCGGAGCAAAATGATTATCTTGTAGGTTTATAGTAAGTTGCACAATAAATTTGTTACTTATAAAATTATTTAAGTATCAATATGCGAATAAATTCATTAGAAAAAAGCTTAAATTTGTTAGTACTTAATAAATACATATACACTTACAGTTATATATATTTTTTATAGCAAATTACTAGAAAAAATATGAATAGTAAGAATATATCAATATAGCTATATTTATACACAAACTGTTATCTATTTTTTTATGACAAATTATTAATAAAAATTGCTTAGTATATACATAAAATATTGTATATAGTGTACAAAGCATCTATAGAATTAGAGTGAATAAACTCAAAACTTTAGCACAATTTAAGATTAGTGATATAGTGTAGCAGACAGTATATGGAATATAAGGTTACTTGGTAAAATAATTTGATAGCTACTGTTTTATATATAACAAAGTGCGATTCGATAAGAATAATAAAATGAAAAGGGGATCACCTCTGTGTATTTTCAAGTTACAAAAAATAGTGATTAATATAGGAGAACAGTCGGTTAACCCTTCGTGAAGACAAGACAATATGTCTGCTCACATTCTTCTTGGTAAATCACAAAATAATTGTTGTCGTACTTAAACTAAGTTTTTGTAAAGTCTCTATGAGTCAACTTCGAATACTCCAGTGGGAGTGCTAATCGAATTTGATCTATACAACTAATAAAATAATGCA